TGGAGTGGAAAGGAATGGGAAGAAATGCTATAGCAGACAAATCACGCACATAAATTTCAAAACTACATGCTAGTTGAAATTAAAATAAATTAACAATTATATTCTTTTTGTGAATATAGATTTAAAAAGGTATGAAGACATGTGACCTTTTAAAGCAATTTATAAAATTAACTGTGAACTCGCTCTTCTATTCTTTGCCACGAGAAAGCTCCCTTGCCACACACAAAATTACAGTGGCTAAAAAGGTTAAATAAAATTAGTAAAATGCTTCAGTTTGAATGTTTAATGATACCATACTCAAAAGCACGAGCTTGACTCATGTACAGTTTTCTTGCCACCCTTGCTTTTACGTCCTATCCACTTTCCATTATAATACCTGAACTCCACCTCTTGAAATATTCTGAACATTTTCAACTAAACTGTGTAGGCAGACTTTACCCAAAAAAATTCCTGAAAAATACTGATGATTTGGAAATCTCTGCTCACCAAGGCATAGAGGCAAATATCTCATTGGGTTATATATTTTTTCTCCTCTTAGAGAAAACACAATTAAAAACTGTATTGTTTATTTTCATCAGCAAATCAAACTTAAATAACATTAAAGATTAATATCAACCACATAAAGTGTGCTTAGTATTCTTTATGGCCTAGAGCAGGGGTCCTCAAACTTTTTAAACAGGGGCCAGTTCACTGTCCCTCAGACCGTTGGAGGGCCGGACTATAGTTTAAAAAAAAACAACTATGAACAAATTCTTATGCACACTGCACATATCTTATTTTGAAGTAAAAAAACAAAATGGGAACAAATACAATATTTGTATTTGCATGTGGCCCGCGGGCCGTAGTTTGAGGACCCCTGGCCTAGAGTCTATGTCTGTGTTGCAGAGTCCCTGAAAGACATATACAGAATACTCAAAGTGATTGAAGAAAGTTTAATATACATGCTTTTTAAAAAAGTCAGGATGGGGTAAGGGGAAAAGAAATTGAGGGTTTATTGTCTTGGGACTAGCAATAGCAGGGTGCTCTTGCTACCTTTAGTATTTGAAGGGACTTTAGTATTTAAGAACTTAGAGCTTAGACATCACCCTAGAGCTGGCCTTTCATGAAGAGATTTAGCCAGTCCATAGGGGAATATTTATTTGGTCCTTATTCTGTTTCCGCCCTTCAATATGCTGCCTATGATGTGCATATACTTGCAAATATTGTGTTTTTTGTTTGTTTGTTTTTCAGTCAGGGAATTAAGTTCAGTTTCTACTACTCACTCAATCTTGTCTGAAGCAGAAGTTCTGTCCATACCATTTTAATTTCTGATTTGGTTGCAAGATTATTTACCCCTCCCCCTTTTTTTAATAAACATGGAAGCATTTCAAATATGATTAAAACCATAAACAATGCCAAGCAAATACCCAATATCTCCTATTTGGTGTATTAAATTACAAATTGGTGTCACAATTGGTAGTTTTTTGGTGTGTTTTTTCTTTTGCCTTTTTTTAAAAAAGATCTTTATTGTTGCAAGTATTATATAGGTCCTCCTTTATCCCCATTAAATTTCTCCAGTCCACTCCCATCTCCTCCGCCTCACAGGCCTTCACCACTCCACTGTCTGTGCCCACGGGTTATGCATCTAAATGCATACAAGTTAATTGGTTGATCTCTTCCCACCTACCCTCTTTCCCCCTTCCTCTGAGGTTCAACAGTCTGTTCATGCTTCTATGTCTCTGAGTCTATTTTTGACCATCAGTTTATTTGGTTCATTAGATTCCAAAAATGAGTGAGATCATGTGACACTTAACTTTCTCTGACTGGCTTATTTCACTCTTCATAATACTCTCCAGGTCCATCCATGCTGTTGCAAATGGTAAGAGTTCTTTCTTTTTCTGTGCATGTGTGTTTTTTGTTTGTTTTAATTTTTTTCTTTATTGATTAAGGTACTACATATGTGTCCTTATCTCCCCACTGCCCCCCCACCCCCACTACTCGTGCTCTCACCCCCCACAGTATCTGCGCCCATTGGTTGTGCTTATATGCATTCATACAAGTCATTTGGTTGATCTCTCCCTCTTCCCCCCACCCTCCCCTGCCTTCCCTCTGAGGTTTGACTGTCTGATCAATGCTTCTCTGTCTCTGGATCTATTTTTGTTCATCAGTTTACGTTGTTCATTAT